AAGACGCACCCTGTCTCTCACACACGCGCATACACACAATCGTTTATTCATCGACATTGCCGCCATTTCTCTGTGCCAGGGATTGGGCGGTGTACATCTCCGCAACCTGCGCGGCGGAGGTTGCCTCATGCGCCTTCTTGTCTTCCCGCACGCGGATAAAGCGAGGAAAACGCAGTGCTATCCCACGCGTTGCGTCAGCAAGGCCGTACGCAGCAAAGTGCACGGGTGAGATTGAAAGATCCGCAGCCTTTACTTCCCAGACATGTGAAGCCTCCAACCAAACGTCCGGTTTGTCCTCTGTCCTATAATAGCGCGGCTTTTCGTCTAGGGCGCATGACTGCAGTGCCTGTGTAAGAGACTCGAGTTGGTCGTCCTGGAACCCGGTGCCAATCTTGCAGATGCTCTGAAACTCGTCGTTATCGCCGTCGTGGCACGCGAGGAGGAAGCCCCCAAACACCCCCGTCCGCTTTCCCTTCCCGTAAAAGGCGCCTATCGGCACGAGATCAAGGGTATCGGTAACGCCATCCATGTAGTCCTTTTTGAGCTTCAGCCAATAGTGCGAACGCTTCGCCGGGGTGTAAGTTGCCTCCTCTTCGAGGGTTTTCACCATAAGCCCTTCACAGCCGTCACATATGGACTTATCGAGAAAGGATTGGATGTCCTCAATGTTGTTGCTATCCAGGTGCTCGGCGAACTGGAACTTTGCGTGAATGGGGGCGAAGTGTGTGTAGAGAATGTGCCGTCGCTCCGCTAACGTTTTGGTCATCAGCGGCTCGCCATTAAAATACAAAATATCAAAAGCGAAGACGCAAACGGGAATGGTGACACTTTCGGATGACACATTCTTCCTGCCTCTATGCTGCAGAACCTGAAACGCTTGCAGAGATCCCGTTTCTTTATCAACAGCCACAACCTCTGAATCTATGATAAAAGACCTAACGTCCTTAGTCGAAAACGCATCTGGCAGCATGGCGATAATGTCAGGGTACTTCCCAGTGTGTGTTTCCGCATTGCGTGAAAATATCTGAAACCCTTGGCCTTCAGAGTAGTGAATCTGTGCCCGTTCCCCATCGTACTTGTATTCAGACGTGAATGCCTTGTCGTGGAAGCGCTCTAGAATGATACTTATGCCGCTGGTCGGGTGGGCCAGCTGCGGCTTCACCGGAATTCCGGGGCGAATGGAGAGGTCCGCAGCGTGATCCTTGGCAACTGGTGACGACGGGATGATCACCATAAAGCCGTACTGCAGCACGGCTGCAACGACAATTTCAAGACAGGGCACCTCGTAATAAGTGCGAGTAAAGTTGGTTGCGCCCGCATTCAGGTCTCGTTGCAGTTGTTCAGGTGTGAGTGTCATCACTTCCTGGTTTCCAATGTGATTTAACGCCAAAGCATACCCAACTGCAGCCAAAGCGGAGGGCTCCGCGAGCCCCACACGCATTTTCTGCTGAAGCGCCCGAACAATAAGGTTCACCTCTGGTCCAACAGCATCACGGAGAAGTCGCTTCATTACATCAGCCCGGCGACGCGCGGCCTCCTTTCCGCTCATGAGGGCGATGTCGCGCAGTGCCCCAAACACGGCTACTGCAGAGAGTCTCTTCGGTTGGACAAGGGTTGACTGTTTGCGCTTTTTGTTTTGGGCCACCTCAGCCAAGTCACCTGTTTGTTTGTAAGCCTCCTTGGCATGCGCCTCGGTGATGCCGCAGCACTCTGCTATGACCTTCAAAAGCAACGCGTCGCCCACACCAAGCTCGATCCCCTCATGCGCCGGACCCTGCTTGTTGATGACTAGATAGATGACCGGGACCAAGTCACTTGGGCTGCGCTGCAGGACAGCCAGCAGCAGATGCGTGAGATGTCGGATGCACTCCAGGCGGGAACTCTCGGCACTGATGTCCGCCAGCGTGTCGGCGACAGCAGCGTACGGCACAGTGTCCTTCGCGCCAGACTTTGGACGCGGCCAAACCGACGCGAAGGACTCGTAGGGATCGAACGGGGACCGTAAAAAGAGTTTTGCCATGCTAGTTGGTCCAGCAGACATCTCCTCCAACACTACCGCCTCGTCCTCATCACGTGGCCGCTTGCGTCGCGCCTCATCCACGCCCGAAGTACTATCAGCGATGGAGGACGCCACTTCCATGAGGGCCCTCTGGTCGCGTCAGCGTCAGCACTGATGACTGCATTTGAATTTTTTTTCAGGCGTCCAAATCGGCACACGCACACAGACAGAGAGAGAGAGAGACAGAGGGGAAGAGAGAAGCGAAATGGAGAAAAAAGGCTTGCAATAGAGAGGAACAGCAACAACAAGAACAGTCGTGTTTGTAGCGCTGTCGCCAGCACCAGCAAACAGTACCGTGGCAGGCCCCAGACCCATTTGCCTCGGTCGTCGTGAAAATCACTGATTGCGAAGTTTACCGAGAGGAACTCCCTCGTCTGCGCATGTGTCCGGTGTATAAAGAACAAAAAGGGGAATAACACGCAATTATCGTTCTTGCCTTGTTCGTGTGGGCAGTCGTAGGTTTCTACCGACACACGCACACACACACACACACGCAAAGATTGAAACACGGACAGACATATCTTTCCATGTCCATCAAGTCCCCTTTTTTTTCCCTCCCTTCTTTCGTTCCCCAGCCCACAGCCACAGCCACAGCCGTATCAAGAAGGCAGAGAAGCAGAAAAACAATCGAGTAATAAAAACGCATCATAAATCCTTTTTTTTTCGCTTTCTTCTAATTCCGTTCTTTTTTGTTGTCTTTTTTTTTTGCTTTGGAGAGGGATTTATAAAAACATGATTCCTCCCTCCGTTTCTTTCTGTCCACACACACACACACACACACAAAGAGGTGCATCCTCCATCTTTTATTCTCTCTCCATTGGCAATAGCTCCCCATCCCNCCCCCCCCCCCCCCCCCCCCCAGCGAGTATTGATTTATTTTTCCCCATGTTCTCTCTCTCTCTTTCTTTGTCGGAGGAGCCGGGGGTAGTCTCTGTTTCGCACCGCTTATGCTGGCGCCGGGGTGGAGAGATTGTGACGAAGACACACACACACGCACAATAAAGAAACAACCGAAAGAAACCAGGCAAGAAAGGGCGCCGATGTTATAGCAGTAGTGCCATCTCGCCCATCAGTCCGCTTAGTATCTGGTCTCACTCTAATTCTCCTTGTGTTCCTTTTCCCCCCCTTAATTTTTTTTCTTGTTTTGCACTTTTCTTTTTTTTTGTTTTGTTTTTGCTGTTTTATTCTTCTTGTGTCGGTTGCCCGTCCTCCCCATCCATATCTGTTGGGCTTATAAATATATATATATATATATTTATATATGTGCGTGTGTGTGTGTGTGGTGTGTGGAGAGAGATATTTCTTCCCAGTCTGCTTTCTTTTTTTTTTCCTTCCATTTTTCCCCCTTAGACCTCTTCTTGCCCCTCGCATAGATACGAGGCACTTCGCACCGTAGCAACCTCTTCGATTAAGACAAATATAGAAGCTCTCTATCATGTTACGTTTCCCGCTCCTGCGAAATCTTTTCCCACACTTTACATTCCCGCCCCCTCCCTCGCATGGGGCCGCGCACACGCACACGTGCACGGCTCGAAGTAGGGCGTCGAAGTAGAGGTGAAACGCGGCTGCATTAGCAGCAGCAACAGCAGTAGCAGCACTGTGACGGTGGTGGTGGTGGTGGTCTTAGTAGTACGTCTCTTTTACACCAGTGTTAACGCCGAGGGTGCTCTGCGCCTCCTTCATCCTTTCGTTGGCCTTTCCGAGAGCTGTCAGGTCGACGGGGACATCTATGGACGTGATCGCCTGCAAAACCAACACTGCCAAGTCCCAGAAGTAAAACAGTGTGGCGAGATCGTGGCTCAGGTAGTTGCACTCAGGGAAGGCCGCCTCAATGTCACTCAACGTGCACTTCTCCTTCATCAGGATATACTCAATCAGCACACCGCCACCAAACTCCACAGGCGTAGAGAAAGGTAAAGATTGCTGGATGTCGCATATCTTTTGCATCGGCACTACCGTTCTCCCCTGGTAAAACATCATCACCGTGATTGCTTCCAAAAGGTGTCGTATGGAGCGGGATACCATACGCGAAACCATGCTGAAGGCTGGTAGTTCGGGATCAATCGGACCACTCCATGGGCCTGAGACATTCAACGGAATAATGGAAAGAATGCGACTAGCGAGGGAAACCTCTTGAGGAATATCTCGTGAGTTCACCTCCTCAGAGGTCATTCGAATAGGCTCTGTCGTAATGGAACCAGTGCGTGTGAGTTCAATAAGAAGTACTGTGTACTCACTGAGTGTCGAGACACTGCATAGCTTCAGCGCGCGGCCAAATGCCGACGGCTCACTCAATTGAGTGCCTGGGCTCTGGTCAGGTGTCTCATGCGTCAGATACCCGAGCAAGTCAAGGGACTGAAGAAGAATGGCTGCAGTGGTCTCCTCCACCGTTTGGTAAACAACTCTCATATTAGAGCATGCAAGATGAGCGTACTCCATCACGTCCACCAATTGAAGACCTTCGGGAACATTTTGGCCATTTAGATTCCAAGCATCCAGTTCAATTTCTGGTGGAGGGTTAATCTTGTTCACACAGGTTTGCGGAACGTTGTAGCGGCGGAACCACGTCATTTCATAAGAAGACTGGTTTAGAGCCATAGCAAGCTGATACACAGTCTGCACCCTGAGTGGCAAAACTGTCTCAGCAACATCGCGGTATTTGATAGAGTCCACAAGTGGCCAGTCATCCACAACACTTTTCTGCGACAAGGCGGCGAAAAGACTGGGTGACAAGAGCCCAGCCGTCAGCATGTAGTACATGACTGGCGGCAAAAGGAACCCCATGACTGACCTGGGATTGATGTACGGCTGCCAGCGAGTCACGTAAAGCTCCGAAAGGGGAGTGCAGTAGGGAGGGCTCAGTGTTAACACTGGGCATCCCAATGCAGCAAGATTACGGAATACAGCATTCTTCTGGCAAATCAAACGGTTACGCAGAGGCTCTGTTGCACGCGTGGAATCTCGGTACAACTGATGACCGAATGAAAAACCAAGAGTATTACTTTCATGTCGCACAATCTTTTTGATCATGTCATCAAAGCTCGTGAACTTGTGAGCAACACTCTTCATAACCCGGCTTCGACTGTCGATCATGATTAGGCTTCCCAAGTCATCCTCATCGATTCGCAGCGCTTCTAAGAGGCGTGATTTATGAACCATATCAACCGTTCCTCGCATCACATTAATATTTGTGATGACCCGGTCAATACCTGGAAAAGCAAGGAGCTCCAGGCAGCCGTACACCTCCGACACGTGGTGGTTCTTGGGGTGGCGGAAGGCGGAGAGCTGAGCCCATGCAAGATACGGCGCCCTCATGGTATTTTTAAAACCTGAGCGGAAAAGCTTCACAATCTGAGTCTCCACGTCTTCTTCAACAACAAAACGGTTGGATGCCTTCTTTTGAATCTCCAATGCCCGCACCGACTGCATGTTGCATAATCTGGAGCTGTCCGTGCCGGTGAGCGCAGCTACTTCAAGAGGCACCATGTACTTATCCCGGGTGAATTCGTCACCCGGATCCGGAAAGAATGGGATGCCGTTGAAAACCAACACGGATGTGCAGTTCATGACCGATTGGAGAGTCTTGCAGATCTCCGTGATCTTATCGTACACCGTGAAGGGTGTTGTGAAGGTGTAAATGGCCATTTTCTCTTTATCTCGGACGGCTTGGGTGATGAGATCCATGATTTTCGTGCCGTCCACGCCCAGCATAACTTGGTCCGTACCCTCTAGGCGTCGAAGGTCAGTGATCGGGACGCCCTTGTCCTCCAGCTTGTTTTCAGTGATGTAGCGCTGTAGAAGACTCACATCGTCTTGACGAGGGTACATAGTTTCTGGGGAATCTCAAACCCACCGAGAAACAAAAATACCTATGATACCTTTTTTTTTCGTTCGTCGTGGTTTGTTGTGGTAATTGCAAGACAAAAAAACAGACAAACGAAGATGGGACACAAGACGCGAAAAAGAGATGAAGAGAACGGGTGGGGTGCTCAGGGCCCGGCAGGAAAAGCTCTGTCATTTCATGTCGGCAAGTTGAGCGTTGCAAAGGAACGTTAGAGATATATAGATAAATAGATAGAGACAGAGAAGTCCCTCATACGCGAAAACGCATCAAAGACGTGCAATAATATGATCAAGTGTAGAAGGGAGAGAAATAGAAACAGAAGGGTGGGAAGAAAACAGAGAGAAAGAGGGAGAGCTAGACAGAGAGATAAGTAAATAAACATGTGTGTGACACGCATTCCAGTATTTCTGAGTCTTTAACCGGCGAGGTCTTCTAACGTGACGTACGGAAGCATATCCTTGTAGAAGGGCTGATAAACTTCCCAATTAAATGCAAGCATTTGCTGAAGCAATATCGCCAGACGGCGCAGGGAATCTGTTACAAGGCCCAACGGGGCAGGATCGTGCTGTCCATGTTCGAGAATTGCTTCAATGAAGGCAAGAATACGTTTCTCAAAAACCAGATAGAGGCTTCCTGTTGTATCTGTCATTTTTTCAACTGTCCCGTGCAATTGAGTGATCTCACCCTCGGTCAGAGGAGGAAATGTCCTTTGCTTCGCCAACGCCTCGTCAATCATAGTCACCACAGATGTCTTCAGGTACGGCAGGGTAAGTCCCTCTGAGAGTAGGTGGAGGAACTGCTCGTGCATATGTTTCAACATATCATTAACAGCCCTCGAGTCCATGCCTTTTCCCCGTAGTATGGTTGAAATACTCCCAGACAGAAGAAGCAGCAGCCCAGTCTCCTGTACTGTATTTGCGGCAAAGAAAACAACCCCCTTTTCAAAATAAAAACACTCTGTTGGGTAATCATGCCACCGGTCATTAGTTTGATGACCCCCACTTCGCAGCAAGCCCAGCAGACCGTACAGCAAGCTTCCACGAAGGCGACGTTCGTTCTCCGTCAGTGATGTCGATGAGGCTGCAGCGGGCGAATTGGCCCACGCCTTCACACGTTCATCGTTGAAATATCGTCGCACAAACCCCAGAGAACTTTCCCACTGTTCCACCTTTGGGAAGCATTCGCTGATGAACTCTCGAATAAACGGCACAGCATTTTCTCGTAACTGTTGAGAGATAAGCAAGAGCGAGTACTGCGCAATATCCTCATGCAGCTGGCGTATGGAGGAGAGCATAAGGCGGAACGAGTTTGCCACTGCCGTGCCGAGGTCGGGAGTGCAGGACTCAAGGTCTCTGCGCATGTCTTCCGCGCGCTGAAGCGTCTCCTCTGCTCTCGCCACGGCGCCGTACTCCGCGACTTTCCCCATAACGTAACGCATGAGCGCAGCAATGTTCCCCGGACTCCCCATCACTGAGCGGCGCACGATGCGCCAGTCCAACACGTCGCGCACCTCCTGCTCCGCCTGCGCCCGCAGCCGCCGCGGGAGGGCGTTTAGCAGGCCCTCAATGACGACATTCAGGAAATGAGGAACACTCTGCAAGTCAGGCGGGTGGCGATTGCACTGCTCAGCGAGCAATGCCAACTGCGCCTCGTTCAATGAAGAAACTATCTTCTTTTGCAGTGGATCATTACTCTGGTCAGGCACCTTAATCACTGTCTCGTACGCCTTCTTAGCACGAAACTCAAGGCGAATGAATACCTCGCGGCGCTTCTGTAACGCATCAGTTGGAGGTGGCCTAGAGCGGCCATGCTCATCAACATACCAATCCGGTGGAAGCACTGGCCCCATCGAGACGGGAGGCGCCAGCTCTGCCTCGGATCCGCTTGTGTTTCCTTCAGAATACAGCGGCGCTGCAGCCAGCTGCAGCTTCGTTGCCTGACTGACTAATACTTCCTTTTGATGTTGCTGATGTTGCAGTTCTTGTTCTTGTTTTTGCTGATGCTGGTGTGGCGGCGGTGACATATGTTCTTGTTTATGCTGCTGCTGATACTGATCGCACTGCCCTTCTTTTTCTTCTTCTTCTTCACGCTGCCTGTCGCGTATACTTGCCTCCAGCTCTGCGAGGTCCTCCTCTGACGTAAGCCGTGCGAGGCGGTCATGCAGCAGGCCGACAAAGGTCTGTAGATCCCCATTAGATGGTGTCTTCCGCAGCTCGCGCGAGGCCGCCACGTATACCTCTTTTGTGCCGTCCACGAGAACGGCCCTGCAGGCACGACGATCAGCGCCCTTGAGTGCGCGGAGATTTTCTGCGACCTTGTTACTGTATTCCTTCCACATAAGTGAGGTGGAGGACAGAATGGCTGCGGCATACTCCTCGTCAACACCCTCCTGTGCTCCACACACCTTGAGCTGCTCCAAGAGCTCTACCAATTGTTGGGCACATTCCGTAACGAGTCTGTCAACCTCATCATCTGGCAGAACAGCGTAGTAGTACGCAAGAAGAAGCGCCTGTGGGTTCATTGTGACGCGGCGCATGCTACGCAGACGTGAGCGTCCCTTCATGCTTGCTGACAAGTTCGGCGGACGAACGACAACTTGGCCGGTTTTTGACCCAATAAGCCGCAGAACATCTTGCGCCATACGCACGAGACGGCGTCGGTGTGGTTTAAGAGTTTGTGGGCATGTCCGCAG